CCTGGCAGTCCTGGCAGGTGTGTGGCTCCCGGGCACCTCTGCCGCCCTTTTAGCACCTCCTGCAGCAGGAACTGTGCCAGGACGTGCCCTCGGGCTCGGCTCACCTGCACTGCCCCAGCCTGGTTTCAGTTTCTTTTCCTTGGCACGCTCAGCAGCACCCAGAAAATAACTTCCCCTTCCCACACGAAAGGAAAAAGCTTTCCCTCAGGAAGGCAAAGATCACGCTGACTCATTAGCAATTTCTGGTTTATTACACCCTCGCTATTGACCGAGGGCTGTTCAGGGAAAATGAATTTCAGGGAAGCCCTGCCCAGTCCCAGCAGGTGTCCCCATGCACAGCTGGGCACAGCTGGGTGTCACCGTGCCTGGCCCATGGCAGGATGACAGCGCAGCCCTGATCCAGGGCAGTTTGGCACAACACCCCACAGATAAGATAAGGATAAAAAAAGATAAGGATAAAAATCAGTAAGGAGCACAATCCCAGAGGTTTTCCCTCTCCCAGCAGCTGCAGGCTGAGCCCCCAGGCCCGCCTGGAGGGCAGCACGAGCAGCTTTGACTTCCAGGGACAGCACACCCTGTGTCACCATTGCAGAGACCCAGAACATGAAAAAGGTCCAGAATTAAAACAGGGGTTTAAAAAATGACAGCAGCTCCTGGAGGAAGGATGGCTTTGCACCAGTCACTGTGACAGGGAACAGTTTTGTCCCACAGCCTATGTGGGGTGGGGCTGGTGCTGCTCTGTCCCTCTCAGTGTGGGACATGGGGACAGTCCATCCCGGTGTGGGGACAGTCCATCTCCACTGCCCAGGCCTGGCTGGGGCAGGTGGCTCCCACGGCGTGTGTTGGGTGTCACTGGGGTGTCATGGGGTGTCACTGGGGTGTCACAGGACGTTCAGCCCAGCCTGGTCTCATGGATGAGCCCAGTGCTCTCGGCAGTGCTGCTGAAGGGCTCTGCCCTGCTGCCCCCCAGCTCTGCTCCCCCAAACCCCCTGGGACAGGACCAGGGAAGCAGAGTCAAGCCAGGGCTCATGTCCTGACTCTGCCTGGGACAGTTTGTTGTTCCCAGGAGCTGGTTTGGACTCGGGATGAGAATCCTGTTGATAACAGCCTGGTGGCTCAGCTGCTGCTGAGCTGTGCTTGCACTAAGCCAAGGATTCCTCAGCCTCCCAGGCTGCCCGGGCAGTTACTGAATGTGAGTGAGTTCTGCTTATTGTTCAGGGCTTTGAACATGAGTGTGCAGTAATTAGTAGGAGATAATTAGCACAACGACAGTAAATCACGCAGCAGCCTGGGCACTGATAGGGCACAGAGTGTGTGTGTGCTTCACGAGTAACCTTTCACAGGCAGCACTGCAAGGGGCAGCAGGGTGGCAGTGCCAGCAGCGTCCTTCCCTGCCAGCACAGGTACTCACCTCACCTGCCCTGGCACATCCCGCTCCCACTCACACTCGAAAGGCACAGAGGAGTTCGGGGGTGGCAGTTTGGGGAGCGCCAGGAATGCTGGGGAGGGGCTGCACGTGGAGGGGACATCGTGGTTTGTCCCGCTGATAGCAAAGTTTAATTCTTCTTTGCCCCGGGTTCAGTCTTAAAAGTGGTTGTGAGCAGCATTGCCCCCCTGCATTGGCAGCAGAATTATTTGCTTGGTTTGCTGCTGTTCAACCTGGCTGAAACAACAATTCCTTGTGCTGGTCACTAAATCCTGCTAATAATGTACTGTGGGAGATGCCATCTGTCCGTTCAGGGGCACTCCTCAATGTTATATTATTGATAAGTGACATATCACATGCCCACTCAGACACACTCGGACACACTAACACACACCCAGATATCACATGACCCTCATATAATGATTTATTTTTAAAAAATAAATTAAATAAAAGAGTTTTTAAAAGAAAATTTTAAAAAGACGAAAAAATTTTAAAGAAATCAAAAATTAAAAAATGAAAATAAAAATAAAGGACAATTTAAAAACGAAAAAATTTTAAAATTTTAAAATTTTAAAAATTAAAAAATTGAAAAAATATAAAATTTAAAAATAAAAACTTCTAAATTAAAAAAA